TCTCCTCTCTATTCATCATGACACTGCCTATTTGCCCGGTGGTAAGAATCTTTGTTTTCTTGATATTGAGACACAATCCATACTGAAGGTGGCATTCCTTGATTTTCTGTAACAAGTGCTTCAAATCTGCCTCACTTTCAGCAAGTAAGGTTGTGTCATGTGCATAACACAGGTTATTGATAAGTCTCCCTCCAATCTTGATGCCACATTCCTCTCCATAGAGGCCAACTTCTCAGATAATTTGCTTACCATAAAGACTGAACAGGTATAGAAATAGAATACATCCCTGACTCACTCCTTTCCCAATTCCAAACCATGCAGCGCTCCCCTGCTCCATTCGCACAAAAACCTCCTGCTCCAGGTATAGGTTTCTTATTAGCAAAACCAAGTGCTCTGGGATCCCCATTCTCCTCAAGGTCAGCCACAACTTGTCATGACCACACAGTCAAATGCCTTTGCATAGTTAATAAAGCACAAATAGACACTCTTCCTTACTTTCAGCCAGGACCCATCTGCCATCAGCAATGATATCCCTGGTGCCATGGCCTCTTCTAAATCCCACTTGAACTTCTGCCAATTCCCTATCCATGTACTGTTCCAGCCAATTTTGAATAATCTTCAGCAGTATTTTACTTGCATGTGATATCAATGATATTGTTTGATAATTTCCACATTCAGTTGGATCACCCTTCTTGGGAATAGCAATAAATATGGACCTCTTCCAATCCGTTGGTCTGTATATATTTAATTGAGCTTTTAGCTTCATTAAAAATATACATAAAGTAACATAAATTTTAACTTTTTAAAAAACTTTTCTATTTGTTTGCATACAAAATGTGTATATATTGTGTTTCACACTTTCTTGCATTCATACTGTATTTCATACACTCATTGTGTTTTATAAAATTAATCCCCATTGAATTATGCCCACCATTATCTTTTTAGGTCCCTGCTGGATCTTTTCCATTTCTTTTACCTCCTCCTTCCACCCATCAAATTGCGTGACCCCGTGATTTTCTCCCCTGCCCGCCCTCACCCATATCTCCGACCTTTTCCGACCTTGAATATGCACACACATCTTACTAGCTATCCTTCTATTTTTGCAATAATGGTCTTACGTAGTTATTTGTCCTTATGAGACTGAGTTCATTCATCCCACATAATGTTTCCAGTCCCTCTCAAGTTATGTAATGATTGTCAAAATCATTGCTTCTGAATGCTCTGTAGTACTCCATGGTGTGAATGTACCACAAATTCTGAATTCATTCCATTGTGATTGGACATTTGAGTTGTTTCCATGTTCTTGTGGTAGAGAATAACATTAGTGTACCAATCTCCATTTGTGTCTCAATTCTGATTTTTTTGGTATATATTCCTCGTAGTGGAATAGCCGGGTCATGGGGATTTTCTATGTTCAGCTTTTTTATGAAATGCCAACTGCCTTCCAAAGTGGTTGTACCATTTTACAATCCCACCAACAGTGTATGAAAGTTCCCACCACTCCACATCCTCTCCAACATTTATTGTTTACTGCTGTTAAACTTTGCCACTGCTGCTTGGCGGGAAGAGTTGAAACTGGAGAGAGAGCTGACATGTGAGAGAGCTGGAACTGGAGAATCCGAAGAATTCACTCTGCATTTCTCAAGCTGAAATAACTGAAAAACAAATTTAAGGCTTGGGTCGCAATATTGAAAAATACTATGAGCAATATATTGAATGACCCAGAAACATCAAAAGAAGATGGAGGGAATACACAGAATCACTGTACCAAAATGAACAACAATGAAGGAGGAAATTGAAGCTGCATTGAGGGCATTGGAAAAAAAAAATAAAATAAAATAAATAAATAAATAAAAATAAAATAAGGCCCCAGGAATTGATGGGATAATAATTGACTTGTTTCAATTAGCCGTGGATGCACTTACTAGTCTATGCCACGACATTCGGAGGACAGCTGTCAGGCCAAGGGATTGAAAGAGGTCTATATTTGTTCTAATTCCCAAGAAAGGTGATACAACAGAATGTGGAAACTATCGAACAATATCATTAATACCACATTGTCATCGCCGTTAAGTGCCGTCGAGTCATAGGCGACTCATAGCGACCCTATGAACGAAAGACCTGAATGCTTGTATAAGGTTCTTCCTTCCTCCAGGTTCATAGGGTTTCCAGAGGCAAGTTATATCGGAAGTGAATGCTACTCCTGCTTCCAAGCTTGTTTTAATTGGGAGATCCATCCAACACAGTCCATCATTGGTAATTATTATTGCATTTGACACATATTACTTGACATCAGTAATGATATCCCTTGTGCCTTGGCTTCTTCTAATTCCTGCCTGGTATCACATGCAAGCAAAATACTGCTTACGATCCTTCAAAAACAGTTAGAACATAGATAGGGAACTATCAGAAGTGCAAGCAGAATTTAGAAGAGGCCAAGGCAGAAGGGATATCATTGCTGATGTCAAGTAAAGAATATCAGAATAATGTTTATTTATACTTTATTGACTATGCAAAGGCTTTGAGTGTGTAAACCATAACAAGTTATGGCCAACATTGAGAAGAATGGGTATCTCAGGGCACTTAAGTGTGCTCAAGTGAAACCTATACCTAGACCAAGAAGTGGATGGCCAGCTCCTATATTTGTCTCCAATCATGGATGTGTAGATAAATAACCTGCATCTATCTATAGGCAGGTCCTGTGTGGGTGGATAAATAACCTGCATCTGAAGGTGGGTACTGTCTGGGGCCATGTAGTACTCTACTTGTGAATGCTGCTAATATGACCAATGTGGATGTCACTCTCAGGGCTTTGTCCAAGGGGGTCATGGGAAGTTCAGGCTCACAGCTCTCTTATGGAAAAAACATTGCTTGCTTGAGTTGTGCCATTACACTGCACCTTTCTTGAGTATATCAGGAAAGAGGCCTTGTCCATTTCTTGGTTTATCATGTGAGGATGGAGATTACTATGAAAGTGAAGGTGATAACGATGATGGCAGTGGTGGTGATGAGTCATCCTTGTTGAGTTGTCATGAGGATTATTGACAATTGCAGGTAAAATGCTAATGGCATCACACTGGGAGTGTCACCATAGGTGTTTGCAGACACAGAAGAGTTCAGGAAAAAGATGAAATTTGCTTTGTGTAGTTTTTGAGTGAAATTAGCACATTAAGGAGGAGTCAGTGGGGTTTGGAAAGCCCAGGAGTCTATACGCGACTCTAAGCCCACCAAGGACCCTGGTCAAGACCTCTCCTGTCCCAGTCCCCTTTGTCCCAGTTAATTCATACCCAGAACATTTTTAAAAGAATCTCTTTGGTATTCAAATTGGAAAAGAAAAGGTGAAAGTATCTTTATATGCAGATGAAATGATAGTATTCTTAGAAAACCCTGAAGACTCAGTGAGAAAACTACCAGACACAGTCAAACCATTCAGCCATTCAGCAAAGTGGCAGGATACGAGATCAACATACAAAAATCAAATGGACTTCTCTACAGTGACAAAGAGAATACAGAAATAGAGCTAAGAAAAACAATATCTATCACAATAGCTAACCTCAAGATTCAATACTTGAGAGTAAATTTAACTAGAAACACAAAAGACCTATTCAAAGAAAATTACAAAGCATTATTTACTACAAGAAACAAAAAAAGGAAATCTGGAGAAATGGAAGAATATACCATGTTCTTGGACAGGAAAACTCAATAGTGTGAAAAAGACAATCTTCAGTACAATTCCA